GGTGGCAGCGTCATGACGTGAAGTGAATGAATGCAGCAGAGTGTAGAGAAATCCTGGAGGACAACCTGATGCAGTCTGCAGGAGAACTGAGACGTGGAGAAGACTTGGTTTCCATCAATGAGCTGAAGCTTTTCATTTTGACATCGAAGAGTCTTTTTTTTTTGTAAATTCTTGGCATGAAAAGCCAAAAAAATGATCCATAATTCAGTGTTGAAAAGCGATAAAAGGGGAAAACGTTCAATGTGGTGAAAACTTCCTTATAGTCACTGTGTTTTCTGTTTGTGTTACGTTGTGTTCCTGTGGTAGTTTGTGTTGTTGTTCGTGTTACCTTGTGTTTCTATGGTAATCCTCTCGCGTCTCGTCGGCTCGTCGGCTTCGAGGCTTCAGGTTGTTGAGGGTCACAGACTGGGTCTGAGTGCACCACTGAGACAGAGTGGTCAGGAACTGCACACAAACAACACACATTAAAACACACAAAACACACAAACAGCACAGGATTGTCTAATGTAAAAAGAGACCATTAAACTTGTTAAATGTTTTGCATTATGTTCCATCTGTGGAGCCTCCTCTACCTCGGCCGAAACTCTGGCGTTCTCCAGCCGGAGGCGCGTCCAAACCGCCGGGTGCCTGGCGACGAACCGCCAATCAGAGCACACCTCGGCCGCGCGCAGCAACGACCGCACGTCCAAATAAGGGAAGACGCAGAAAAGCCCCGCCCTCAGCCTCAGGGTGTCCGCCCCCAGCTGCCTGTTGCCACGGCGATTGGAGGGGGTGGAGTGCAGGGAGGAGGGAGCATCTGGGGGGAGGAAGGCTTTTATTGTGAAAGAGCCTCAGCGTCAACAACTAGCAGACAGTGGAAGGCTGATTTACCTGATCCAGGTGTGTGTGTCCTAGCAAAGATGAGCCGCCTCATCTCAGCACTGCTCCACAAACCTTCCTCCTCCTCCTCCTCTTCCTCCTCCTCCTCATCCTCCTCCTCAGTGCTGTGGTGACGGAGGTTTCTTTTGCTCCACGTCGCCCCCCATCCTCCTTCCCCAGCCCTGAAAACGAAGAAGAAGGAAATAAATCCCTGAAATATCAGTCCACCAGTATGTACCAGTGTCCAAAGCTTTATTTTATCACGTTAGCGGTTAGCTTTGAGCTAACAATAGCATGCTAACATGCTCACAATGATGTGCTAGCATCAGCGCTAAACCCAAGCCCAGCTGAGTCAATCAGCTAATGGATCAAACCTTCCCGTACGTACCAGAACCTGTCCGTCCTGCCACCTCCTCCTGGTTCTGGTCGGGTCCAGGATGGAGCGTAGTGAGGCAGGTGGAGGTGGACTGACTGGCCCTCACAGTCCCACCCCCCCGAACCCAGAGACAAGGTTCGCATTCGTCCGTTCAGACCGCTGGAGGAAACAAACCAAGAGACCACCACATTGTACCGACAGTCTGAGTGAAACAGGTGAGCTCAGGTGTTCAGGTACCTGTAGTGGTGGCGGCTGTAGAGCTGCTCCCCCAACCTGTAGGAGTCCGAGACACTGTAGCTCCTCTGGGTCGCCGCGAACCACACGTAAACAATGACATCATTCAGATTATTCGACGCATCATCCTAACTGAATTACTTTTGACTGTAAATTAGAGGTGTTGAGTGTTTCACCCGGTTTCCGATGGTTCCCTGCATCTTGTTTGCGATGATGTCGTCAGTGCTGCTGTCCAGACTGCGACCTCCGCGGCCGGCGGCGGCGGGCGCGTATGCCTCAGTGAGGTCGTACGGGTCGACGTATTGGTCGCTGAAGTGGTTGTGATGCGAGTCAAGCAGCAGCAGTTGTCGCTCCGCTCGGTCGGCTCGATCCAACAGCGTCTCGATGAACACCTGCAACCACAATGAGCACCGCTACTGCTACTGCTACCGCTACCGCTACCGCTGGGGACAGGTGGTGTCTAGTTGTGGGGTTTTGTGTCTCACTGGTGGCATTTTGTGTCGCTTTTGTGTTTCTCTGTTGTAATATTCTAACACTGTCATTTGGCATCATTTTGTGAAGACACTCCTGGTGTGTGTCAGCGTTTGAAAATCCTAGCTTAGCATCGTTAGCATGAGGCTCCAGTAGCTAAACCGGACAGTCGCCAGAGGCTTTTTACCACTCATTGCTGCAGCGTTCATGAACAGGTGCAGCAGCAGACACACCTGTAACTCCGGCTCATCAGGCAGTGAGAGGCTCCATCTGGTGGATGTACCAGATACTGCAGTGGATTTGCTGTATATTTTGTTGCAATAAAAGCTTTCTAAAGCGAACCTGAAAACGTTTCTTTAATAATCAGAAGGTTTTGTTTCACCTGAAGTCTGGATTTGGCTTCGGCCTCCTTCTCCGCCGTCTCCCTCAGAAAACACTCGATGCCGACCATCTCCCTGCAAAGTACGACTTATAAACATGTGGTTGGAACAGACGCAGCTTCGTCTAAAGCCGGTTTCATCAGGTGCTTTATGCAAATGCTTCTGTGGTAAATAAACCACGTGTGCAGATGAACGAAGCCACAAACACAGACTGACCTAAAAACACAACCAGCCTCAGGCCTCGCTGTCATCCTCCATCTATCACCGCCCACACAGCAGTGTGTGTGTGTGTGTGTGTGTTAGTGTGTGATGAAGACTAAACGTGACGTGTCCTCTGTCTGTTCAGTCCATTACAGTCTCATGATACTACGTACAAGTCAGTTTGTTGTTTTGCTGAGGTTCAAATGTCGACCGCATCTCAACAGTCGTAAACTAAAGTTTCCGTCCACTGACAAAGTCCGTGTTCATCATTCAGTCTTTGGTTTCCAAAGACTCCAGGAGCTCTGAATGTTCTACGATGGAATCATTGAAACACTTGAAAAAAAGACATTCTCTATTTTGGTTCTTTCATAGACTAAAGTTCTTCTGGAAACATCACAAAACCTGCTGGATCACAAATAAACCTACATAAATGTTAATATCTGGTTCAACGTCCATGTTCTCCTCAGTCGGGTTCTTCTGGTTCCGTCCACCAGCTTCTGGTCCATCTCTGACTCCTCTGGACAGAACCGCTGCAGTTCAACTAAACTTGTCGTCTTTCTGACTCAGACTTGTTCCTTCATCAGTCCACAGGTTCTGGATGGTTCCAGTCAGGACTTTAGGGAGACCAGTCTAGAACCTTCATCCCAGCCTGATGGAACCATTTCTTCACCACTTTGATGTGTGTTTGGGCTCATTGTCTGGTTGGAACATCCAACTGTGTCCAAGATCAACCTTCTGCTGATGGTTTCAGGTTCTCCTGAACAACGTGGAGGTGATCCTCCTTCTTCATGGTTCCACTGACTTTGTGTAAAGCTCCAGGTCCACTGGCAGCAGAACAGAACCAGAGCATGATGCTGCCACCTCCATGCTTGATGGTAGGTTTGGTGTTCTTGGGGTTAAAGGCCTCACCTTCTCTTCTCCAGACATGGTTCTGCTCAGTGTTTGTTCCATCTGACCAGAACTTTCCTCCAGAAGGCCTTTTCGTTGTCCATGTGACCAGCAGCAGACTTCAGTGGAGCTTTAAGGTTCTGCTTCTAGAGGAAGAACTTCCTTCTCCATCAGCCTCTCAGCTCATGTTGATGTCAGACCCTGTGGACACTGACAGCTGTGTTCCAGCAGCTTCTGGTCCATCCAGAGCTGCTTCCTGCTGGTTCCTGGTGGACTCTTGACCATCCTGACCAGTCGTCTCTCAGCAGCAGCTGCTAGTTTGTGTTTCCTTCCTGATGGTGGCATTAACACAACTGGACCATGAACTTTATGCTGACACACTGATGGTTCTGGATCTGAAGCTGCTCTGAAATGGCTCCAAGTGACTTTCTGACTGGTTCCAGTCACTGATGTTCTTCTCCAGATCTTTGCTGAGCTCCTCAGACTTCAGTCTAACGAGTGGATCAGATGGTTCTATTGAAACTGGATCAGAGGAGTCAGCAGCTGGAGTCGATCAGAACCACTCAGGAGGAGTTAGGAGGCCATGAAGCTGAGAACATTAGAGAAACAGAACCTTCTCCATCAGCAGAACTGATAAGTCAAGTTTCTGTTTGTATGTTTCTGACAGCTTTGGTCATATTTCCAGAAGAACTTTAATAAATCTATGACAGAACCAAAAAATCCAGTAAAAATGCAAGTTTGTTGTTTAGCTTTTCACTGACACCAACTGAAGAATCAGCGCCACCTGCCGTTTGACTTAAAGAACGACCTCCTGACATGAATAAGGAACCTTCAGGTACTGACTGGTGCCGTTCATGCAGCTCCTCCTCTTTCCCTTCCAGCTCCGTCTTCAGTCGCTCCATCATCTCCACGGCAGCCGAGACCTGCGAGACCGACATCCAGACTCAAAATCACAGCGTGGGACCAAAAGGGAGGTGACGTCATCCACCCACCTGTCTGGACAGGTACGCCGCCTTCTCCTCCACCTCCATCTTCTCGCCCCTCAGCCGCTCCCCGTCCCGCCTCTCCTGCTCAAGCTCCGCCTCCCTCCTCTGTAGCTCCGCCCTCAGCCGGCCCACGCGGCGGTTCACCCTCTCCTCCACCTCGGCGAACGTCCGGGCGATCCTGCGGTCGAGCCCCAGGCCCAGCCGCTCCTCCAGGCCGATGCCCACCGGCAGCCCCAGCGGGACCCCCACCTCGCCCAGCCGCTCCCCACGAGGGGTGTCCCGAGACCCGGGCAGGGCCAGAGCGGTGGAGGGGTCCTCTGGAGGCCCGCGGTCCGATGAGCCGAACATCTCCCTGAGCAGCCGGACGGAGGCCGACGACGGAGCTAGATCCAGGCAGGCCAGCGGCAGGGGGAGGCCGGGGGGCTCTGGGCCCAGAGAGGAGCGCTGAGTCTGGGCCACGGCCGGGCCGGGGAGGGGGAGCAGAGCGCCGGTTCTGGAGCTCCTGACACGGGCCTGAAAGGTAGGACTGAGTTTGAGTCAACTGAGTTTCTGAACAATAGGTGTAGAAAAAAAAAAAAAACATTTGATGAGAAACCCGGATGTCCTGATCCAGATGGGTTTGGTGCCAAATCTGTCATTCCATGTTTATCATCTGCTGAAATCTAATTTCTCACCGTTAAATAACATCATATAAAGTTATTTACCTCCATATTCATAATTTCATATTTTATCCTGCATGTTTCATATTTACACAGTAAAAGAACAAACTGTGGTCTGTTCAGGTTTAAGAACAGCTCAGGCTTTTTCAAGAAACGTTTAGTGAATTAATCGTGTTCCTGTGCTTTCAAGGGTTAATATTTCTTAATATTACTCAATAACAATACAGATTTTTTTCTTCCAATAATAATAATAATAATCAGAAAAACATCTAAAATTAAAAAAAAGAGGAAAAAAAAGATTATTTTAGCTCATTTCGTTTTACAGTCAAATGTTGTAAAAGAACAAATTCCTGTTTTCAAAAAGCAGATTCTTGAAGTGGATGTTAAGGTTCTGGACAGTTTTTAGAGGAAACTTTTGGAAAATCAATATTATTCCTGTGATTTAATAAAACAGAGAAAATTCCAGTCAAACAGTGACTGAAGACAAATATGATCAAATATCTCTGTTTTTCATTATTTTGCTGATTTGAACAAACAATGCAAAAGAATTAATCAATATATATAAAATACACATTTACAGTTTGAATCCTTTTCTTTTACAGTTAATATATAAATTAATATTTTTTCTGTAATTTAACTGTTTTTTTTATCCAGTTGTTTTTATTTTTAAAAAAGTATTTGTTATTTTTTTAATCCTATAAATCAGAGCTGACTGATTGCTGAGGACGTGATTTTCAGTTTAAATCCGTTTTTAACAGTTAACGTGTAAATTAATCTGTTAAACTGTTTTAGAAGCGACACTGACAAACCGCGCAGCCTGAAGTAGAGAGTAAAAGTACTCGATTACCTGTGAGAGCAGCAGCAGCGTCTCGTAGGTGTGTCGGCTGACCAGGTGCGCCCGGAGCTCAGGTACCGACGAGAAGCGCCGCTGGTCTCCACAGCGAGGACACGAGTAGGACGACATGACGACGGGCTGCAGGAGCCACGTGAGCTGGAACTGGGTCACACAGAACCGGCACCGGTGCCTCTGCAGGAGAACACTGGCATGTGCGCGGGACGAGCAGCAGAACCGGCCGCGGTTCCGCCGCTGATCCGAGGCTCAGATGAGCGGCGGCGAGGCGGAGGAATGTTGAGCACGGATGGATGAGCAGGAAGAAAGAGATTCTGGGCGTGACGCGCTCTCCGGGCTCGTGTCCGCCTCGCTCGCCCTCCTTCACCTCCTCTAACCCCACAAACACACACAAAACACACACAAAAAACAAAACACAAACAACGCAAAAAACACAACAAACACAAAAAGATGTAAACGAGATGAAAATGCAAAAACTTTAAGAAAAAATGCGATAAACTGATTAAAAATGCAAAATGTTGAGATGAAAAGGCAAAAAAAACCAAAAACCCAATATGAAGCAAATATTATAAAAACTTAATAAAAAACTGTTTTGACGAAAAACAAAAAATATGAGAAAAAAACTCAAAATAAATAATTTTAAAAATTCGAATTTAAAATACAAAAATATCTAATGATGATAAATGACGCCTCATCGATCAAACTGTGAGATCCATAAGCTGACTTGTGATCGACAGTCAAACAGGAGGTGATGTCACAGTGAGCTGAGGATGAGGAGCAGGTGGAGGATGAAGCTTTAAACATGAAGCACGTGAATCATCAGGTAAACATTAAAAAGTACAAATGATCAGAGAAGAACTGAAACTTTTCAGTTAATAGTTTTGCGTTCCACAGAATCCGTGAGACGAACGGCTGCTGCTCCACCGATCACTCACCGGTCCGTACCTGTGATTACTGATTGGTGACGTCACTCACGGTCCTCGATCCGTCGCCCCGCGTCACATCCAGACAGGCAGCCGTCGACATGGTGATTCCTGGGCCCCCGCGCTGATCAGCTGATCGATTATCGGTGCGCTCGCTCAGACCGGCGACCGGCGGCTCGTGCAGCTGCAGCAGCTGGTCCCGCCTCCCGCCGCCGCCGCGCGCAGCCTCCGCCTGCTGACGCAGCGGCGCGTGACGCGTGACGGGGTTTTATGTGTTTGCGTGTTTGTTGGTGTCTGAGGTTTTACTTATTATTTTGTTTTTGTTGTTGTTTATAATCTCGTGACTCCGGTCGTCCTCAGACAGCAGCCTGATGACGTCAGCGGCTGCCGTCTCGTGCAGGGCTGCGGTTCCTCTGATGAACACATGAAGGGACGCATGAATGGATGACGGTGGGCTTTAAAGATGGCCGCTCTGGTCCTGAGGCTGCTGCTGTTGCCACGGCAGCGCGTTCTTCACGGCTCAGAACTCTGGAGGAGCTGATGGCAGCAACCGTTGCCTGGCAACAGCAGCTTGTTGATGGACGGACGGACGAGAAGTGGAAGTGAGGAAGATTAATTTAGTGGTGATGATGATGATGATGATGAGTGAATTATGTAATCAAATGTATAAACTAGTGAAGTGGTGGTGTCTCTCTGATCAGTCAGGTGATCCTTCAGCAGTAAAGTGTCAGATTCTGGTCAGAGTTCACGTCGACCCAATAAGTTCTGTCACGTATGCAGGCTGAATGTTTTCTTGGCTCATGTTTTTGTGTTTTCACCCTCTAACACCCACCTGTGAGTCCGTCTTCAGGGTTCAGCGTCTCCACAAATGAAACAGTCATGGAAGTTATTGGTGACTCCGTCTGTAGCTGATCAGAACGATTGATTGGATCCAGCTGAGGACACCATTTTAGCTACTGAACTTTGAATATGGGTGAAAGTCTAAGCCGTTCTGGTGCTGATCCAGAAAGTTCCTGTCAGTGTCTGTCTACAGATGGATCCATGTTCCACCAACTGTTGAGGCTCTAACATCAGCAGAACTTGATGTGGTGAAGTTGGACCAGACAAGGTTCTGGTTTTTACATGTTTAGACTAAATGTTGATGTGGATCATTGGTAGGAACCAGAACCTGGATTCTGGTTCCAACATCCGGAACTTGAGCCTGGATTCTGGTTCCTACCAACTGGTTCACAGGTTCTAGATGTTGGCTTTACTTGTTGGTTCTAGGTGTTGGTTCTAGATGTTGGTTCTGGATGTTGGTTCTAGGTGTTGGTTCTA